TCCAAACTAAATATTTAGTTTGTTAAAAAAATTATTTGGCTTTAAACTAAATATTTAGTTTGCAAACTAAATATTTAGTTTTTTTAACAAATATTTAGCTCCAAATTAAATATTTATTCAACAACCTAAATATTTAGCTAGCATATTTAGCTTTAGTGAAAATGCAACTTGACTTGAACTACCAAAGTAAAAGCCTGGGAATCTCTATACAACTCCTGTTTAATCTTCGTCACACTGACAGGAAATCACAAGTTAGTAGATGAAAAAACATGTAATTAATTCCAAAATGGAAGGTACTCTTTGACCGTATACATTTGTTTTAGGAAATGGGAAAATGTCTAATGTTATGCTAGCCTCCGTCACGCACATGGGGCGTTACTGTGTTGCCATAGAAACAACTGCTTCACCCTAATTTTTGACCGCTTAACTTTACAAACGGCGCCCCATAGGCAGGTGCATCTTCTCACTGTAATTAACATATCTGAACAGAGTCAAGCAAAGATAAGAAATAAAAAAAAAACAATAAAAAACAAACTGGCAGGATTCATGACAGAAACGTGTTACAGTTTGTCCAAAAAAGCAATATAATTTCAGACCTTCAAACTAGTTGTGCTTCCTGTTTACGAGAAAAGTTACAAAATCTAGAATGTCCATGATCTGCCATGATGGCTGAACATGTCAAGCGTGTGCCAGCTTCTTCTCCACGAGACAAAAACAAATTAAATCCAGATGAAATGCTCTCCCTGCCAATTTGAGTAAACACCCATGTCCTGTCTGGTTTTAACTTTAGTTAGTAGACAGACATATAACAATGACATACATTAGAGGTTTGAATGCTTTTTATAGAATCGTTAAACAAATGACACTGCAAGTTTCGATTCGTTCCTGCCTGTAGTTGTGGTGAGAAAAAATAAAACAGATTAGCTTTCCCTTTATGCTATATTTATAGCATTGAACTACATTCCTCAAGAGCATTGAAGCCTATAAGACAGCTATTACAGATGGCAATAAGGAAGCTGAGGAAACGGACAAACCTGTATGTCTGGGTTTGACATGCAGAAGCCAACTAGCCTACAATCAGTTCAAAAGTTCAAACGATTGCTTTTTTATTTCATTAAAATATTTCTTTCCTTGTCTGTTTTTCCATGTTTTGGTTTAATAGCATCAGTAGTGTTCTTTTCTCATGGTGTTCTGGTAGAAGACTCAGGGGAGGATTCATTAAAGGTATAGAAGATGATCTTTTATTTCCGGGTGGATCATCTAAATAAAAGGTCCTCGTAGTTGTCAATCATCCTGGTGATATGTTTACGTAAGGTCGTCCTACGTGCTCGTCCTGTTAGCTATCTTTATCGTATATCTTTATCTATATCTGTGCTGAGCTATAGTTTCAGACAGTCATTGAAGCTCACCTTTCTCACCGCGGTTCTTTGAAAATGGCCGAGGGTCGTAAGAGAAAAAGTGTCTACGAAGTGTAAGGGAAGAAAAGAAAGGCCTCAAAAGAAGCAGATATATCCCAGAATGCTTTGTGGGGACAACTCTCCTCACAAAGCACTATGGGATTTGCTGTTACAGCCGCCCGCTGTATTAGTGTTGTGCCGATGCCATTTTTTGGCCCTCATAAAAGATACCTGGCTGTGCAGTATCGGCTGATACCGATACCATTTGTTTGAAATTGATGTGTGTGTATATATGAAGAACTGCATACTACTTGGATGTAAAATATTTGCCATCATGGCTTAATCAAGCTGCTGTCTACCTTTGTTAAGCAGGAAAACGACTAATACAAAGTGAACCCAGTAGAACTTTATATTACCTACCTGGAATGGGTTACAATAGTTGAGGAAACTTTTGGCTCTCAAAATGGTATTGGTGCCCCATTTGTTGGTACTCGCTGATAGCGATACCACCATTTTAGTGCTGGAGCAGGGCCCCACCCAATACTGGTATCGGTATAAGTGCAACACTAGCCGCCATAGGCTGTCACTACCCGACAGCGGCGACTAATAACAAAGATGGCACATGCACCGCACGGTGGAGTTACATGACCAACAGGGTGCATAAAGTAGAGATCATCTGTCCAAAAGGTCAGTTAACTGAGTTTGCAATAAAGTTCACTATATAGCCCCTTGCAATCAACATAATGTGACTGCAGCAGGAGTCGCTATCGCAGGCTGTGTCATGATGCGGCAGCTCCTGTCCAGCATGGAGTCGCCACAGTAAATCATATAAAGGTTGTAAACAGAGACAGAATGTGTGCTATTTGCATTTTAAAACATCTGAGTAAACTGAACTTTACACTGGCAGCTCATGAGGCAAAAGTGAAAGAAAAACCTACAAATCAGCCACTCTATCTTTTCCTCACAACTCCTAAAATCGCTTGTCCAAATCAATTATTATACAACTGTGATTTACTTATTTTCTGTTTTCTTTTCCAAATATTATCATGATATGCCCTGATGGCTCACCTTAATTGTTCATTTCACTCACCTGCCTAACTCTGCCCAGTTTTTCTAATTATCACTCATCTCATCCACCTGCTGTTTCTCCTTTATATTTGGCTCATTTCCAGCTATCGGGGACAGATCAATGTTTGTTCCCTGTTAGATGTCTTTAGGTTCTGTTTTCATAAGTTCTATTTAGTCCATGGTTCATGTTCCTGTTCCAGTGAGGAGATTATTCTGGAGCCAGTATCTTCAGGCGAGTTTATTCCCTAACCAGTAGTCTGATCTGTTCGCCTGAACCTCCTGCTGGATTCTGCCTGTCTGTTTCTGTACGTTTCTGTTTAAGCTTGTTGCTTGACCCACGGGACTAGATTTATCTACTGACATTTAAAAATAGTTTGTCTTGAAAATAAGAACAAAAGAAAATACTCTGCATATATCCTTTCAAGAATTTGAAGACTTTTTTGCAGGTTTTGCACTCGATAAGAGATGTTGTAGCAACATAATACATGTAGAATGTGTTGCATTTAGCTAAAAAGAAGGGGAGCATGAGTCGGAAAATTCTTTAAATGACATGAAATAAAACCTTCTTGATTTCTGTTCATAGTTTCACTCAGGTTTTTAAAGTAACACTTGAGTAATGGACTTTACCTAAATACACAAATCATTGGTGTTTCTTACATGGTTTCTGTTGGGACTTAGATGTTCCTCCCCGATCAAACCTATCTGAGCTGTTATCTCATTATATCCGGTATCATCTATCCATGCATTTACTCAGGTAAAAGCAGAAAGTATGACGCAGTAAAGCAAATTTAAGTCCATCCATTTTCCGTCATGCTTATCCCAGCTGGGGCCGCGAGGGATGCTGGTGCCCATCTCCAGCTCTCTACAGGCGAGAGGTGGGGTCCAACCTGGACAGGTCGCCAGTCAATCACAGGGCAATGCAGAGACAAACAACCTTTCACGCACACACTCACACTTAGGGAAAATTTAGAGAAGATAATTGACCTAACAGTCATGTTTTTGGACTGTGGGAGGAAGCCGGAGTACCCGGAGAAAACCCACGCATGCTCAGGGAGAACATGCATACTCCATGCAGAAAGACCCCGGGTGCTACCCACTGCATCATTGAGCAGCCTAATAATTTCAGTGATTTAAATTAAACTAATTTAAGTTGAATTTAAATTCAACAAACCTAAACCTTCAAGATTTAGGTTTGTGTTATTACAAAGACTTACTTAAATAGATGCAACAAATAGTAATAACTACTTATGGTCTTTCTCTGTATATATATAGATATAACCTATATTATATATGTGTGCTTCTGTGTAGATAAAGATATGTAGATGTATTTTTATATGCCTGTTTATGAATCACGTTGTAATGATTGTAAAGGACAGAGTTGGAAAAACACAAAAACTATAAAAAGCAGTGATTTCCATAATAGTCACTGGAGTGTTTCACTATTAACCAGTTTCTTCTTGTTCTATTAACACTACTTTGTCTCAGAGGTTCCCTCTAGTGACTAGAAGCAATAACAACAACGGAGACAAAGAAGTCATGGATTTTCTGTGGAAAGTATTGGAAAAATATATTTTTAAGGACTGAAATGAAATAAACAACAAAGTGAAATTCATTAATCAATAGCAGTGGGTTTTATTATAGTCTCATAAACTTCTGGCACTTGCCAACATCGTCTGTATGGGTAAATGCACTAATATGGAATCTGTATTAATCCATAGTATATCTGCGTCTATATTTATGTCTGAAATTGAAGGATTGAGGGCAGGGTTGGCCTTGTGGTTAGAGCCGTGCACTTTTGCTCTGATGAGGTTGCAAATACACGTTCTGATCTCCACTGCCTCCATTCTTGACCCCTGAGCAAGACCATTAACCCTTTACAGGGCACTCAGTGAAATACCTTGACCTTTTTACCTTTGTAATATTCAAAAAATATGGATATTTTGATGGCAAAAAATTAATGGCATTATATAATAACAAGAAAAGCCAACTTGCCTGGATATATTAAGAAAAATAACAAAAGTGCTTCTATAAAAATTTAATGAAAAACACTCTGAGAGTGAAAGAAACACTTTATCTTTTGGTACAACATAACCTTAGAGGCATTATTGCTGAAAGGGGCACTGCCATTTTTTAGTTTTTTAAACCTAAATATAATTGTTAACTAGGCTTATTCACGTTTTAACATTTTATTTAGCTTTCAACTTAATTTACAGCAGGTAATATATCATTTAAGGTCTCATCTAATTGGTCAAATGCCAAAATAAGATGTACAGCCATGTAGCAGGATCTTTGCCCAATGGCTGGATATAGATCTTGTTCTTCTAGACCTCACTGAGGGATGGTGGGGGACTCCATTTGAAAGGGGTATGCAAGTGATCAGAAACGCTAACTTTCCCTATAAATGGTTAACCCAACGCTGCTCCCTGGGGGCTGCACAATGGCAGCGCGACCGGGGAGGAGGAAAGCATTCATTCTCTTTTTTTTTCCAGGGAGCCATAACATATTTCATAATAATATGCAAATGTGTTCATAGAATTGTGTGTAAGCTTTGTTTATATACATTAACCCTGCAAAAAAAATTACATTTCATACTAAAATTACAACAAAGGCTCATATTGAAAATTCACATAATTCAAAAGATTCTGACTAAAAGAATGAACTGCAGCCAACATTCAGACTCAAGTTGTGTAAGTAAGTATTCATCAGTCCTAGTTTTATATTAAAATTAAAAAAATTTAACGGCAACAATGTACAAGACTGGCTTGAATAAAAACGCGTACAAACCCGCAGTGATAAAAAGAGTCTTTCTCCTTGGTATCAGCATGTAACAGTCTGTGTCAACAGGCAGACATGTTAGTGCAAGACAGCTCAGTAAATTAAACCTGTTTTTCCACGTTTCGTTCAGTGATGAGCAACAATGGACACTTTCTGCTGCAAGAAGATCTGGATCAATTTCAGGAAAATCCCGAGCAGAGGTGTCAGTAACCAGCTGCTTCTCCCTTCTTCCTCTGGTCAGACACAGCGCAGATGCAGCCATCCTTTTTCTCAACTACATTAACCACATTGTAGAATCGGGTCGCTTCTTTCTGATTGTGCCCCAACGCTTTGAGCTCCTTAATTATATCCTGAGGATAAAGACGGAAAAAAAACACAATAAGGTTAAATCTATGCAGCGTGTTACCAGACACCTGAAACCAGTCACAGACACATTACCTTATCAAATTTGGGTTCGAACTTCAGTGTATTTTCAGAGTCAACAAACACAACAGGAGCATCAATGGCCTCTTTAAGGCTCTTCCCAAACCAAAGGTGGTTGATGAGGGCCTGCAGGAGAGGAAAACATACTGATTGAACACACTGAACACAGAATCTACTGATTAAAGTGATCCTGAAGACAGAGCTTGACAACAGTGAGCAGAATCGGCATGCAGCAGTTAATCCTAATTGCAATTAGTCTGGTTGCCATGGATACATACAGAGGCCAGGCCCGTTGTGATCATACTCCCACCACTCCCTCCAATCACCAGCGTCTTCGATCGAGACTTCAGCACAGTGGGGGCCATGGAGGAGGGGGGCTGCTCCCCTGCAAGCAGAAGAAAAGCAATGAGTGACAGCAGAGATGACTGTGATTCAGACCGATGGCTGTCAGGAGAAACAGAGAGAAATCACAGGAAATGCTGAAAATGGAGCAACAGCGAATGAATGTGAGACAGATGGAGGAAGACATGGAGTTCATCTTCATCTGGGGTCTATTTAGTGGAGCTTCTCTCATTCATTTTAAGGTCATTTTTAGGAAGGGGCATTTTTATGCAAATTTCTTTTTTTGCACTTTTCTAAATTTTTTTCATTCCAAAAGCGTTTTAGACCTTTTAACACAAACACCTTTTTTCAGATCTCTAACATTGGGCTATTGCACTAACCTGACTCTGCCAGATGGATTTGCTCCGCATATCCATCTGGAAACCTTCCGTTGAAGTAATTTTGGGAAGGGGCGAAAATACTGGTTAGCTGATTGGCCTATGTTGGTGATAGACGGGCCAAATAAACCAATCAGATCAACGAAGCATATGACGTACTAACAGAGCAACGACGAAGAGGAGCCAATTGATAGATCAAACTCTTGCCGAAACCAGTCGGGAGAAGAGCAAAAACATCTTTTCCTCTGAGAAAAGCCTCCAGAGCAGTGTTTTGCTCTTCTTTCAGTGAAGAAATACTCTGTAATTCCGATAAAACTTGCTCGATAGCCACGCTAACGCTAGTTTCATCGGCTGAAGCCGCCATGTTCTTTAGACTGAACTGTCGCGCTTCTCGTTGCGTCACACCTCAACCTGTCTCAAAGCCAACGCTGATTGGACGTTCGTTTGTTGAACGGCTCCAAATTTTCTTTAACGAAGAGTCTCCAGACTGATTAGCGAGTGAAACCTTGAAAGCTCGCGAGATCAGGATAGTCTCACGAGGCTACTATTGCGCTGCAATAGTTATCCGTATGAATGTCTTCACAAATTTCCCTTTACTTTACCAGGGATTTTTGTGAAACCATTAATAATTGTGAACTGGAAGGAAAATTATGCATAATTTTCATATTTTTCACAAATGTTTGAACATTGCACACTGCTTTTTTCCTCAAACAACAAAACTGAAAGCAACTTGCTGCACTGGATTTCAATTAGATGGTTTAAAAGGGTATTGATTCCATACGTATGTTTTATTTTACAGATTTGTAGTGAACGCCATTTATCTTTTGGTTATTTAATGACCATCGTATTAAAAAGAAAACAGAAATCTTTGCTACTACAGCGCTTAAAGTTTGCTTTTATAAAAAGGCTAAAATATAAACTGCAACATGTGTATTTCTATTTTAGGTCAATAAGAACCACTGGAGCGTAACTGTTCTAAATTCTGGCTGCACGAATAAACAAATGTCGAAGGATATTTTCTAACAGAGACGGGGAGAATTTTGTTTTTTTCCTTTGGGCTCAAATGTCATTTTCAATTAGAAACCAACAGAAGCGCTTTGTAATCTGATAGAGATAAGCTTCCAGCGAAATGCAACAAACACACCATGAAACTTGAGTAGATTATAGCACTGAAAGCTGGGTAGAAACCAACCCATAACACATGAATTAGATGGCCTGCCTGATTAAACAAAAAGGGGAAATGGTGTCTTAGAAACCAGCCTATGTGACGCTCTCTTTCAGTTGTAGCAGCTCCACTCACAACATTACAATGTGAAGACAAAAGTTAATCATGGAAACGTTTTTATACAAAACCAAGTTTGTTCCCAATACATAATAGACAAAATAAAAACAGATGACGTCAATTTATTTACCAGGGAAGATCTCATCGGTCCTTTTACAAAAGTCTGACAGCTCGTTGTTTAGAACGATTCCAGTTCTTGAAGAGTAGACTTTGGAGCCAAATCTGTAAAGAAGAGGTTTAACCCTTTAAAGCCTGATCCAAGAATAAAACAAAACAGAAAATTACTTCTTTTGTTTTTGTTTGAAGTCCTTATTTTCCCTTTTAACAAAATATGTAAAAAGAAAAAACAGAAATAAATTTTTGATATTAATAATCTATTACTATGCGATAAGTCAAGATTATTTTTTGTGTAGTCTTCTACTGGCTGTTATCAGGTATATCTGATTGTGTACAATAGGATTTTGAGCAAAGTTTTTACCATTAAATTATGCAAAAGGTGTCAGATGCAAAACATTTCAGAAACCGTATGTATCAAATACGATACATTTGGCATTATAGGGTTAAGTTAGATGAAGTCTAGGCGAGTCGCAAACAGATGGGAGCATTAGCCGAGACACATCAATCAAAATCTTTGCAGCCAATTTCTGGTCTTCAGTTTATATAAAGCTTAACTTTTTTAATTTTAGTAAACTAGGTGTGTTTGTGAATGGCTGTTTGTCTCTGTGTTGCCCTGCGATGGACTGTTGACCTGTCCCCGCCTCTCGCCCGCACCCGTACCAGTTTCCTCGCAACCCTGCTTTGGATAAGCGTGACAGAAAATGGATGGATCAATAAAATATTTTTAATTGAATTTATATTTTTGTTTTTTGTTTTTTTCGTACTGTGCTGCATATTAGATAAACCACGCCGACTTATCTAGGAATTATAGTTCTAAAACCATGGGAGTAACTATTTGTTTTCAAAGGCATGAGTGTCTGGAATCATCATTGCCTCCTTATTAGCAGCAAAGGTTTACTTCTGTATGCTGTCTCCTGATGTGCTGCTTCCATCAACACCCTTGTTTATAGATGCTGGAGATCGGCCTGTTTTCCAGTGTAGTCCTGTTTCTCTGACCGTGACTGAGTGGATGTGCTCTCTTCGTCCTCTGGCATGGGAACAGGCTCGGAGCTTGTTTGCCTGGCTGTGTGTTTCCTGGAAGGCACCGCCTTTTACAGCTGCTTTTTGTGTCTCTGCTTCTGTCTCCTTGAACCCCAGTCGGCCTCAGCAGATGGCCGCTCACACTGAGCCTGGTTCTGCTGGAGGTTTCTTCCTGTTAAAAGGGAGTTTTTCCTCTCCACTGTCGCTACAAGCATGCTTAATGTGAGGGATTGTATTTGTGTCAATGAGTCGATGCAATCAACTGGTTTTCCTTAGATAGAAAACTTTGAATCAATTTGAGTGTATGATCTGGTTGAACTGTAAAGTGCCTTGAGATGACATGTGTTCTGAATTTGGCGCTTTATAAATAAACTGAATTGAATTGAAACTGAATTGTATGTAGCCTATGTAATAAGCAAGCCTATTCTATTATCAGTGAGTAAAATCAGCTACAGAGCTGCATTAGAATGAGTTTCTCTGGACTCTCCAAGATAAACTGTGGCGCCAACTTGGCCAAGATATAGTAGGATGTCTGTAGACTCCCCCTGCAAGGTAAAACTCATCAGATACTAACATGTGGTTGATGGTGCTGGTGACAGCGACGGCCGATCCATCTTCAGCCAGTACAGATAAGTGAGTGGTACCCAAGCTGTCCAGATAAGGAGTCAGGCTGTAATACTGGGGGTCGTGTGTCCTGTTGCTGCTGATCAGAGTCCGTATATGGTCTGCAAAATCAGCTTCTATCATTTTCATTGCTGTCTGTGGAAAATAAAGGGGAAGACAAAAAAAAAAATCATGCACTAGAAAAAGATAGCATAAAGTTAGATAAAAAACTAATTTTACTTTTTGTAAATGTATTTCTTTGAACCTAAATTTCAAATAGTTTTATTTGTAGAATGAAACATTTGGCTGTATAATCAGTTATAAGTTCAATTTACTTCAGCTTAAAACTTTCAGTAAAAAGTAAAGCTATTTAAAATCTGAAATTAATAAAATAATGTTTTTTTGAAGAACAATTTAAAGCATAGATCTGGTAGAAAATTAAAAACTATTGGTTTATATTGACAAAATTCTTATTTAGAAAAACTCCCACCTCAAACCAAACTGTAAGGCAGCAGGATGAATAATATGATACTTTATTACAGGAACAGCAGGAAAAACAGAAGCAGGTTTCCAGATAAAACTCACAGTGAATTATTTACATTTCAGCTGAATAAGTTGAATTATAATTTCACTTCTTTCTGCCAAACAGGTCGTTTCAATTTGATAGTCAAATCACACCAGGCAAAACATTTTTCTGTTTTATAATATTTCCAGGATATAGACAAATATCTGAACCCCACAGAGATTAAAGGTTTTAGGAGAATATATTATATATTGTTAATATTTTGAATTGATGGTACTGATGTTCCAACTATTTTCTCCATTATATTGCAAATAAGAGCTGCAAAAAAAATAAGGGGAAAAAAAATCCCAAATAAACTCAGTTCGTTAATCATATGTTGGGAGAGAAAAATGTGAATAAAAGTGAGTAAATCTCATATAATACCTGTACTGCTCTATTATTCTTTGTTTTTGTTTTTCTACGGGAATGGAGTATCTGGGTTTATGATCCTTTTTTGTTCAAATAGAAACCCAGGTTGAAATTCCTGTCACAAAGTTGGGCATCTGATGCTAGTCTGCTTCCTTTCACCGATCCTGTTTGTGGCTTCAGGGGTGAACTCTAGGAGAGGAGACTGTCTGGTTTGGAAACCTCCTAAATCCATTCATTTTTTTTTTTTTTCTGACATGGTTTTGTCGACTTCTGCAGGCCATGACCTCAACAATGCACTGGAAAGGTTTACTGCTGAGTGTAAAGTGGCTAAGATGGAATTAGGGCTGAAACAATTAATCAAATTAATGGTGATTAATCAATTATTGAAATAATCATCAACTAATTTAGTTATCGATTAATTGTTAAAAGTATAGAGACTCTTAGACCCACTTAGAGCAATAATTATATCAAGATTGTAAAAATATATACAAACATTTTTCATTTAAGATTAAAAATAAAATTCGCCTGTCAATATGATCCATCCAGAAGTCCTCAAGTGGAAAAGTTTAAGTTTCACCTGCTTTAATTTAGTAAAAATTCTTCTTTAAAGCACCTTTGGCTATCTGATTAACAATCGATTAATTGAAAATTAATTGACAGATTGATCGATTTTGCAAAATAATCGTTAGTTGCAGCCCTAGATGAGTGAGCTTCTCTAAATGTCCATCTTTACTGAAATTTCAGAAGATAATAATACATTTTCCAGTTTCTCCATAGTATTGCTACCTAAGTGTAAATCAATCAATTTATCCACATCACACCCAAATGAATATGAAAGCATGAATGTCAGCAAAATACAGGATTTTAAAATAGTACGGCATTCAATTACCGGATGGACATCACAGAACGTTTTAGATCTAGATTCATTCTTTTTTCATCACTCGGTCCAACAAAGGTCATAAAGGAGTATCTGTCAGGTTTCTGTTTCTGTTATGTTTTTCTTTTGAGTATTCAGTCTTACTTTACTCCTTGTTTTCTAGTGTTTAGTTTTCTTTTCTCCATGTTTTATAGTCCTAGTTTATTTGATTATCATTTTGTTGTTATTTGCAGTCTTCCAGGTTTCTATTTGTTGCTCTCTGCTGCCCTCCTATGTTCTCCTTCTTCTCTAGTTCTTTCCCTCTTTTGTTCTTTGCACACCTGCTCCCAGTTTCCTCAGTAGCCCCCTCTTTGTCTCAGTCTCCTTTAAAAAGCCCTTTCTCTTCAGTTCCCCTTTGCTGGGTCCTCGTCAAACACCGTCTAACATGCTCCAACTCCTTCTCTCTGTGCCTCCCTCCTTATCATTGTGATTCCCCAGATGTCTCCATGGTTTCTGGTACGTTTAGACTAGTTTTCATGTTTTTGATTTTTGGACTCCTGGTTTTATGTTTGTTTGGACTTTGTTTACTTTTTGGGATTTTTGGATAACCTGCCTCTGTTTTCTGTTAAGTCATTATTAAATCCACTCTGCCTCCCTGCCTCTGCTTTTGGGTCAACTAACCATAGCCAAATCGTGACAGTATCTCTGTACACACTTTGACCCCATTTACACTACCCTTGAAAAACTGTGCCGAGACCGGTCCGAGCTCAGTAACTGAGATAACTTATCGTGTGTAAATGGAAAGCAAACTGAACTGAACCGAGATAGACACAACCGAACCGAGATAACTGCAGACCAGTTCCAGAGGTGGGCTCGGCTCGGTTTTTCCCTGGCTCGGTTCTCTGATAACAAGAGCGCATGAACAGAACGCGTCATCTCCGTCTGGCTGAACATCGCGATTCACATTCCATTCCAGTAGTTGGCGGTAATGCCCCTCCGGAAGTTGCTTGCCAACCAACACAAAACAGAAGAAGAAGAACAACTATAAACAACAATCGACAACATTTTTATTTGCTTGATTCCCTCCTTCTTTGTCTTCTTCTTCTTGTGTTTTATGGCTGTTGGCAAACAACTTTTGGTGCATTACCGCCACCAACTGCTTGATTTCCTCCTTCAATGCTGGCAGTAATACCGCAGATCGTCACTAGGATGCGAGGAGTCAAGGAATCGAGATAGCTTGATGTGTAAACGGTCGTCAGAACCGAGCTCGGCCTGGTTAACTGATCCGAGCTCGGACCGGTCTCTGCATGGATCGGTTTTTCAAGGGTAGTGTAAATGGTTTTTTTTGTATTGCATTGATTCAATACTTACCTTATTTGATATAAAGTTTGGATCCCCAATGTGTTTCTTCATTCCATTGGCAAATTTAAAAGCTTCAACGTAGCGATGATAAAACCTGGTCTTTTGATCAGCAGACTGAGGAGCTGAATCCATATGATACCCTGTAAATATAAACATTGCTCTATTGAAATATGGATTGATTTTCCTTTTCTTTTTAGTTCATGATTGGTCAAAACTCTTCCCACATGACCTATATTAGGATAAAGGCTCCTAACGGCAACCATAACACAACGTTCTCCTGTTTTAAATGTCTTTTTTCCCCACTACGCTTAATTTGTACATGTTTGCATCTAGCAGCAACCTTTCATGATGTTGAGGACGAGGCTGAGGAGTGTTCCTCCTGAGGGGGGAGGGGGTATGTACATCTGGTAGTCCCCCATAGGGACGACCCACGCATCAGTCACTTTAACCTTATATGATGCCAAGTCCTCCAGTGTGAGGACTCCTCCTGGGGAAAAAAACAGCAAAACAAACGACAGAAATCATGAAAACCAAACCAGCTTATAAATTCTGACCTTTAATAGATCAGCTGCTGTCTGAGAGATTGCTGTGGTGCATACAGATCAAATTGATTTGCTCATTTCTAATTGAATCACTGAGCCATGCAGACATAGAGGAAAGTGTTCTGACAATACCTGCCTCCTGCACGTCTCTGACCAAATCCTCTGCTATCCTTCCAGAGTAAAAGGCTTCTGCTCCAACGTTTGCAATCGTCTCCAAAGTGTCGGCCAGTTTCTCAAATTTAATGATGTCTCCAGTCTTGAGCAGGTTTCCTTTTTCATCTGTAAATGCCTTCCTGAGAAGAGTTAGAGATGTGAGTCTGTGTCTCATATTTTAAGGCCCCCTGTGTTTCGTAATGTATTTCATACCATAGAGGCGGCGTCTGTTTTTGATCAATGAATGAGATAAACAAGCCCTGAACTGGAGGAATAGGAAATCCTTCTCTGGCCAGCTTGATGGTCGGCTGGAAGAGTTCGGCCCACGGCAGTTTTCCGTATCGACGGTGAACCAATTTATACCCTCGAATTTCCCCTGGAACGCCGATCCACTTGCTTCCTGCACAGATGGATGTAAAGTTGGAGGAAAATGCATGTCCTTCCTTAACATTTTATTTGTGGATTAATTTACAACACAAATCTAAATCTGAACTTCAGCTCTTGTCACCTATCTTATCAAGTGTTGTCAAAGTTTTTTTACATAAATAATTATAATAACAGAATTTTATTAATATGTGTAGGATATACACTTTATTCAGGCCTAACTTGCTGCAGTCACATTCTAGTATAATGGTATTCTAGCATAATGGTGGGCGTTACAATCTCTAGTTTTCTTAGCTCTGTGCAGCCATAGCCTAAAGGACGTCTCCCTCCATTAATATTTGACCCTATGTAATTATAAATAGCAATTTCTAAGGCAACACAAACACAAGAATTAAAACTTACAGTTTTTGGTCTGTCGCAGCCTCAAGGTTTTTTGTTTTTTTTTAGTTAAGAATTGTCCTTCTTAAAGGTATAAGTGAGGATTTTTGCAAATAAAAAAAAAATGTACATGGACAACTCTATACCCGCTCCTCTACTTAACAGTATGCAAGAGCGTGCACGAGCCCAATTCTCCTCGTGCACGCTTTGTTTAAAAGTTTCTGTTTGCTTTGCTCATACAAGCTTACGGTCCAAAATAAGTTTAACATTTTTTCCACCAAGTCAGATTCACCACCTGTAAGTTAAGATGGAGACGAGCACTTAGGACGGCCTTACGTAAACATATAACCAGAATCAAGTAGGAGGACCACTTATTTCGATTATCCACCCAGATAAAGAACATCCTCCAAAATTCCTTAAAGTTCAACTCGCCTTCCCATCACCTCGTCCAGCCTGCTTTCTCCCACTGTACGTCACACAGAAAGATGCATCCTGCCAACACTGTCGCAGACGTCCCTCCAAGACCTCTCTCTCCCAAAACACCTCCTCCACATGTCGTGGGTCGTTCTCTGGGCCTGGAAGCCCTCCTAATGGAGGTGTCCAGGAGACATCAGAAACAGATGTCTGAGCCACCTCAACTGACTCTTGATCTGGAAGAGAAACCGACTCTGTTCCATGTCTCTCCCTAATTACCAAGCTCCTCACCCTATCTCTAAGGGAGTGCCTTGCTACCCTGCAGAGAAAGCTCATTTCAGCCGCTTGCATCCAGGATCTCATTCATTGGGTCATGATCCAGATTTCATGACCATAGGTAGGAACCTAGGTAATAGATGGATCCATATATCAATAGATATAACTAAACAGACTGGTGCAGAGTCCACATAAGGGCAGCAGCTGAACAAAAACTTTCTATAGAACTCCAGCGCCTTTATCACCTCTGTGGTGAATACAAAATACTACTAAACTACTCTTGGACTTGAGGCAGGAACTCCTCTCCACCCTGGTTGAGGAAAGTTAACCTTTTCTGTTCGAGAACCATGGACTCAGACTGATTTAGAAGCGGATCTTCATCCTTACAAAGATGCTGCAGGTCTTGGCCTGATGAAGCCAACAGATCACGACCTGCAAAAATCAGAGATAAAGGCCCAGTCCCATTTCTCTCACTTGGTTGTGAGAACACATTAGTGAGTTCCCTCCACAGTGAAGTACACTCAATGATGAAAGTGCAAGTTGTTAGGAATCCAGTTTGTGTGGGTTGTGCTTTTGTTTTCCCTCCACCACCAGGCGGCGCCTGGTTCTCGTTGGCCTTCTCACACACCTGCGGATGGTTGCCTCATTACCGGAGGACTCTTAAGCTGCTGACTGCCACTACCTCGACGCCAGAGTGTTTGCCAGTTTTGGGTACTCTAGCCAAGCTGAGTTTTGCTGAGTCAAACTGAGTTTTTTCACCTGAGTTTTAATCTTGTTTTTGTCTTTGCCTTTCGGCAGGAAGTCATCCTGCAAACTGGATGCTTTGGACCTTCTCCCCCTGGAAGGATTCTCTGAGCATCAAACTGAGCTGAGGATTCAAGCTAGTGGTTTGGATCTACTTTTCCCCAAGGGATTCTTTGGGCTTCTCTCTTAGCAGGGGATTCATCTCCACAAGAAACCGTTCAATCACCGCAGGAAATCTAAGTGGCAGTCAGCTCCTCCGTTCCTCAAGAAAACACCTCAACCTGGTTAAACCCTGTCCGCCCTCCAACGAACAAGTCTATAACTGGAACAACCCACATCAACTGGATTCAATGAAAGACACATTTTTCTGGAAACGTGCGTCCTGTTGCCTTTATTCCCTTCTTCAAATCAAAGACACAAATTTCCCACTGAGCCTGAACTAACCGCAGAATCTTCCCCTTCACTTTTCAGTCCCGGTTCAACAGTATTCAGGGCAGCACTGGTCTCCTCTCTACCAACTCACAATAAAACCCGTTAAACTTTCCCCTGGTCTCTCTGTTTGGTCTTCTGCACGTGGGTCAGATCTTTAGATAAAATCATGACACAAGTGAAGATTTTCTCCCTGAGAAATGGGACACCACTAGTTGTAACATTATATTTCAGCCCAATAGATGGCGGTAATATACAGTATAGCCTGTGCACTTCAGTGATGTGCTCGCCTGCTCCATGCGTAAACCCACCTGAGTTACAACCTTCTGCCACATTCATAACTTTTCACCAGACATATGCATAATTTCATAATTTTGAATAACATATATATTACAAAACGTAAAAATTCCATTTATGAGCCAGCATGGATAAATAAAAGTATTAGAACCATCTCTAAATTATTAGACAATCATGGTAATATAATTAGCTACGTCTACTTGTTGATGAAATATCAGTTTCCAATAAGATACAAGCAATACAAATGAATTATACAATGCATCCCTAATGGACTCTAACAATTATTAAAATTATCACAATTTAATCAAACTTTTACCACCTAATTGTTTCTGAATGGACTGCATCTTCTTGGCACCAAATATAATAACAAAGAAATATGCAACAAGTTTCAAATGCCTACAACCAAGAGGCAAATTCTACTGGAACTCCATTTTTAATTGAATAGACTGGAGCCAACCATGGTCACTACCTGATCAATACCCCATTAGCAATAAAATCCATGAAATCTATTTCAAAATTCTTTATAATATAACATATTACATATATATATATATATTTATATACCATATATCTTGGTCCCCAAACCAGACCCCTGCTGGCTCTTGGCTGTGCCTAGAAATCCTGTCCTTGACAGGTATAAACAGGACTGGCGACACATGGCTGCCCTGCCGGAGTTCAACATGCAGCAGAACAAGTCAGACTCGACTCCAACAATGTGAGCCAGACCCCTGCTCTGCTTGTAAACAGACTGGATGGCCCCTAATAAAGGGCCCCTGACCTGTACTCCTGGAGTTCCTTGAAAGACACGGTTGAATGCCTTCCTCAAGTCTCCAAAGCACAGATGGACCAGCTGGACCAATTCGCATGAACCCTCTAGGACCCTGAGGAGGGGGTAGAGCTGGTCCTTGTTCCACAGCCAGGATCCAACCCACAATACTCCACCTAACTGTGTGGTTCATAAAATACTATTTGGACCCCTTAGCTCTTATATCAGAAACAAAATCTGATTTTAACGCACATGTAAACACTCAAAGTAAAATCACGGATATGACCTAATGTTAAGGCTAACTTAAAGTTCATTCAAAAATTATTTAACCATATATCTGCCTTAAACCTCTGACATATTTACAGCTGGGATTAAAGCATTTTTTATTCACTAATCGAGTGACTGCAGAAAGAAACTGGTTGCCTTTAAACAGGTATTACAGTAGTATCACACTTTCCAGGTTTCTGTTTGACCAAAATTGTTTAAAGGAAGTAACTGCAAATTTTCCATTCCACAACAATGTGTTGGTATAAATCTTATTTAATCCTAATAAAATACATCGGAGGTGTAAATGAACAGTTCAAATAACAAACCATGAAGCGCTGCTGCATGTCAAGATAAAAACTAGACAAATAAACCTTCGCCTTATGCAAAACCAGAGCAAAGTGGCTCATGAAATTAGCAGATAACAGAGCTGGAACAAGCAGAAGTTCTTGCTCCAAAGATAAGGAAGCTCATTTAAAAGCAGTAAACATGTCTGTTTGGGATGCAGCAGCAAACTACCTGACGTCAGGTTGAAGCTCTGGGAGCAGGACTTCAGCAGGTGGGGGTCCACCTTGGATGGGGCAGTCTCCCTGGAGTTGATGATCTTCACATTACCTTTAAAAAGAATCCCCCTCCCCACCTGTTATTATCACTAACTATCACCAAAACACGTGTTCAGCTGATTGGGAGCCTTTTTCTCACCTGAGCTGTCCATCACTGTGAAAATGGAGCCCCCTCCGAGCCCCGCGCTCTGCGGGTTCATGATACTGGTGCACAGAAGCGCAGCAATGGCGCCATCTACCGCCGAGCCGCCGCGCTGCAGCATGTCTCTGCAAAATTCACCTCTGTTAATATTTATTACGTGTCTGCTGGAGATGTTTATGTACTTTACATAAGCGTGGGCGTCTAAAAACGCCTGTAAAACTTTCTCTGAATTTTTTTTTTCTGATTCAGAATGTTTCAACAAGTTTAAATGAGTCATCAGCAGTAAACACCAGCTTGGTTGAACAGATCATAGAGATAAACATATCTGCAAATCGCGGATGTTGTCACAGTTTTTCCTCGATTGCTATAATAGATAAACCGGATATGTTTTTTTGTTTTTTTCTTCTAATGATTAATGGTTAATTAGGACCCACCTTCCAACCTCTGAGCATGTCTTAGTGTCTGCAGCGACGGCAGCTTTGGAGAAAGAGTCATTGGGGCATCTGCGCCTCACAGCCACAGCTATGGCCACGATGACAGCGAAGACAAGCAGCAGCAGCAGCGCGCAACAAGTGTACACCCTGGCCTTGGACCGCGCCATCTCTGCTCCGAATGTAACCAGGCTGATGATCCAAATTATCTGAGTGAGCGAATGACTGAGCGCCTGGTCGGATCAGAGGGGGCGGGCCCCGCGGGGGCCCCTCCACCCCCCGCCTGCAGCGCACAGCAGACAGGGAAAGTTATTATGACAGGCAGGGGATGAGCTGCCAATGAGTTTCCGCCTGAGGGCTTTCAGTTAGAGCTTTAACTTTATTTGGTTAAGATGAAGAAGATGAAACTAGGGTCAAAAACACCTCTGAGCAAAGTATTATATACTTTGGATTAATGTATAACATCTATATAAATGTAGTTATATAATAAAAAATTATTAAAATAATTTTAAAAATACCATGTCCGTTGGTTGCGCTGTTCTTTTTACATCTCTTTGCAGGTGATGAAGCAGACTGAAGATGTTTTATCATTATCTCTCTTTTATCTCCTCTCTCTTTAATCTTTCCTCCTTTTTTCTGTTTTTCCTTTCCTGTTCTACCTACATTGCAGTGTCCATATAATCTATAATACTCCCTGCATGAATTATAATAAAGCAAATTATATACATAAATTAAGCGGAACACTATGGCGATAGCCGTACTGCTACACTTGTGAAAGTAAAACCTGTTGGGCTCTTTTTGGTATAAAGAGTTATTCTTATTGCCACATTGCCAGACAGGACACTGGAGAAAAAAAATAAGTCTGCACCTATTAAATATCTGTTTAGTCCTGTTAAAAACTGGCACAAAAGGCTGGTTTAACATCCAGTTATTTTTTCTTCAGAACCATGAGAGGTCAATATACTTTTTACTTAAGTAATTTGACATCTTATAACTAGTGTTGCACCGATGCCATTTTTTGGCCTCGATACGGATACCTGCTGCAATAGTTGAATAAACTTTTGGCTCTCAAAATGGTATCGGTGCTCTATTTGTCGATAGGGCCTACTTGCCGATACCGATACCACCATTTTAGTGCTGGATCAGGGCCCTGCCCAATACTGGTGTCAATGCAACACTACTTATAATCTGCACAGTTCGCTTAAACAGTTTTTAACAAATACATGTAAATCTTACCAAGTAGGATTCATATTATTTAGTCATGGTAACATTTGAAATTCTGTAGTTGTTGGTGTTCTGATCCACAGGATCATAGTAACATGATGAAATGATGCTGATTAATAATGTTAATATCATTGACTTATGCTTATGAATTTAGTTCACACCTTACAAATATTAAGAAACCTTTTAAAGGAAAAGTCCGGTCATAATCGGAATTCAAACTACTGAAAGTACTTTAAAAATGAAATTATTAGATACTGTTCAATAAATGATCAGTGTTTTAATTAAGAGTCATTTTCATTTAAATGTGCTTTACTGGAGGAATCCATGTTTGCCAAAGTACACTACTGCCACCTACTGGTTAGGGACGTCACGGTGCGGTATCGGCTGTTGATCAAGTCCCAGTGCTGTATCTGGTGTTTGTCACAATGCTTTATTATCCAAGTCATCTTGAAAACATTCTTCTTCCAAATGTTGGCTACATATTACGGGTTTTTTCTCTGGCCAGAAGTTCGATGGCAAATCCTCCCTCTTCAAGTTGGCGATCCAACGACCAACCCGTCCGTGGAGGACCAGGAATCAGAAAGGTGAAATAACTCTTTTTTTTTTCACTTTTACCCGATGTACTCCAACGTCCAGCTGCCATGCACGTGGGCATTGGCAGTTTCACTATAGCTCTGGTGAATTTCAATGGTGAAGTAATTGTTATTGATTGCAGATGTGTCTAGTAGTTCCCATTGATTTAGCTTGTAAAGCGGGGAGAATGGCGCTAGGCATACCGCACCGTGACATCACTGCTGGAAGATGGCAGCAGGGAGGGGTTACTATATGTGGGCAAAAATGGCCGCTCCCAGTCTCAGTGATCATGATAAAAATTTTGTTTTTATTTTTTTTACTGATTAACACTAAATTCATTAAATCACCGTGAACCTATTAGTTTTAGGTCTAAATAATGACCCATTGGTTATTCCTTACTGACCGGACTTTTCCTTTATTAGTCATCATAACATATTTCAAATTGTGTAGTTATTGCTGTTCTGATCCAGTAGTTGGCTTAAATACTCTGTATGAGCTGTTATTTGTTATCTGTTATCATTGAAGGCAGACTTGCTCACTCCATTGTTTTTCTGCAACATGTTAGATGGAACCAACTTTAGCCCCTTTATCACCGAAGACAGACACTAATAATCCTACAACCTCGCAAGGATGTGAAAATAAAATAGATCATTTGTTTTATTTTAAATATTTATTATTTAGTACCGCAGGTTACTGGTTCTTATTTTTAGCCACTTCTTGGTATATTTTAAGTTAGGCATTACTCACTGGCTGGTTTGGGTTTGAAAAACTTCACCAAATATGTTGAATGAAACCCTGTTGTGCTAAAATGTTTACATCCAGAATCTAGTTTTTCTCAACCTAGAAGTGTAAACAAAATACCCAGGATCAGTTTAAGGTGATTTACTAGTTATTTATAATGGAAACAAGGCAGAAGATACTAGAACTGGAAATACAATGAAATGGGTGTGTGCTAAATAGAGGTGGAAAAACTGGACTTTCTAGAAGGACTCTGGTTTTTAGAGCAAATATTTCTGAGGGTGTCAGCAAACTGAGAAAAACTAACAGACAAGTGGAGCAATAAAACCAAGTGAATAAACAATTATTACAACTACTATTATACTACTACAACTACTGTAATCATAACAAGAACAACCATAGAAGCAGCACTTTGATATTATGTTATGTTACGTTACGTTACGTTACGTTATATTATATATTATATTATATATTATATTGTATTGTATTATATTATATGAGGTTGAAAGTAGCTATCTCTGCTTTGTAACTTTTAGGGAAAAAAGAATACTTGTAGGAGAAATTCTACTTCATCTTGTTTTTTCCTTTTGCATGAGTAGTTTTCTGCTGATATTGTTATTCCTACCTTAATTTACAGATTTCTCTACTCACCACAGGCATCTTGAGCTATTTGGAGCTCAGGTGAAAATAACAGTAAACATCATGTAGGAGACATAAATGGTTATGTGGTGTATGTTGTGTCTTGGAGGTGGAGACTCAAAGGGAGGTGGGTGTGCACCAAGGAAGAAGGTGTATAAGTGCGCACTCACCTGTCTCACTGATGAGAAGAGTAGCTAAGGGTGGGGCTGCCGTAATTTTGTTTGACCGCTTCATTTCACTACGTTTCATATTATTTTGTTTCAGTATTCATTCGTTTCCTATATCAATTAACGCATCTAACTTTGTTTGCCACAATCATCCCTGCTGCGCTGTCATTAACTCATGCTGGTGACAATAAACAAACAAAAGCATCCTGGATTCCAGCGTATCTGTAAGAACATAAACATTTAAGCGCGTCACAAATAGGGCAAGAAAGGAGGACCCGACCCGAACTCTCAGCGGCCTAAAGGATCTTTAAGGAAGCCGCTATACTTTTGTCAAACAAAAATGGTTTTAATGGAAATCATCACCGCGCACAAGTGACAAAAACCAAGTCATCCCTCACTGGAGAACAAGGAAGCCACAGCTAAGTGCCACATCATACCTTTCATTCACCTGGAAACAGGTAGGCCAGAGCCTTTCTTATGTTTGTGGATGGAATTCGTTTTGATTGCTTTCTGGCAAATGAGAAGAATATTGAATGGATGCTCCGCTGGATACATTGGCGCACTGATGATTGCGCAAGTTCTCCGTGCTTTATTTAATTGATAACGGGACTTGGTGGCATAAATGTGTGGCAGTTGCTGTTGTCTGAAGGCCTATTGTTTGTTTGAATGCTTGGATCGAAATTGCTCTGCCAATTAATTTAAATGCAATGTCAAATGAGTGAATTTGTTGCCTGGAAATGTGATTGTGACGAGCCACACAATAAAATATAACCAAATGAGTGGAATAAATTCAGCATTTGAATGTTCAAATATGGAACATGGAAAAAGAGAAATTAAATTGACTGTCAAAGCGTTGGAAAATAAAATTGAACGTCTCCAGCATGAGCGCAAAAGTACTGTTAATAAAATTAAAGGGCTCATTCCGCAAATTAAAGCAAAAATGAAAATAAAAGAAAACGCTGCTGATATCGTTACACAGCTGGACAATTTGAATATACTGTGTAACAGGGCCAGTGAACTGCACAATGAATTATTGCCATTATTGCCTGATGATGTGGATAAAATTCAAAACGACTGGTTTTCCAGCATTATGGATTACAGTGGTGTATTCAAGGAACAAGTGGAAAAATGGATACAGGAAAATCAAGATGAAAATTCAAATAAAACGCCATTTGAAACAAACATCTCAGAACAATCAACAAAAGAAATAAATCCTGTTGGAAAGGATAAGGATTTGCTAACTGCGCCTCTGGAAGTTGTTCCCACTGTACAAAACTTACCCGATGAACTTAATCCTTCTGATAGCATCTCAAATGCAACCAAAAGAACACGCTCATCAACTCGTTCAAAAACAGAAAGAAATCTTGCAATTTTGGCAGCAAAGCAAAAGGCCTTAAAGGAAAAACATGCATTGGATGAAGAGGAGTTAAAGTTACGTAGCCTAAAAGACGAGAGCTTCTTTTACTGGAGAGTGAAATCGCTGAGGAAATGGCAAAACTGGGCGTCATAGAATCACAAAGCAGTGTTGGCAAGAAATCAAAGTCAATGGTTTCTGATGGGATGAACTCTTACTTTGAACAGACACACTCAAAAGGACAACTTAATGTAAATGCCTCTGAGTTCGTGCCACTACCACCAGTAAAACCCCATACAACGGACATCACACAGCCAGCTGTGAAACCTAAAGTCACTCTCTTATGTAATAAAAAACAGCCCTCAGGTACCTCTTACATGCTCGAGCGCTATTTGATGGCTCCTGAAGATCCTGTTGCCACTGCTGCGCAAACTGATGGATTACGAAATGAAAGTGTTTTGGATATAATGAGGAAACAAAATGAAATCACGACACTCCTAATGCAACAACAAAGTCTCTCAGCACTTCCAAAAAGAGAGATTCCCATTTTTGATGGTAATCCACTCAAATATC